AATCACGCGTCGGCCCCGTTCACATCTCCGAATGTCAGATCTCACAGCAAACCACACGGAAATCGCACGGGTGCGTGCTGCGTGACAAAAAACGCACCAAAAAGGCACAGTTAAAAAAAAAAAAAAAAAAGCAAACAAAAACAAGATCACTCAAATTCGATGGTCGCTCGAAAATCGTCCATTGCTGTGACCCACTAATGGTGCGAAATTCGAAAAGAAATTATTTCGGAATTCGACCCGTGTATGGCCGACTATTTCTTTCGATATTTCAAAAACGTTCCAACACCCGATCACTCAGACTTGGAATTTGCCCAAAAATCATCTGTTTCTGCAGCCACACTGATGGCCGGCCATACGCGGGTCGATTTGAATGATTTTTAGTTTGAAAAATCAGACCTGAGAATAAATCGGCCGATTTTCGCTCTGTTAGCGGGGCGATGGCACCGGCCGATTTTCGTGGTTCCTCCCCATTTCGTTGATCGGGCGTGCTGGAGAATTCGTGAAAGACAGATTTTTGAAAATCGTTGGCGCCAATCGGATTACAGAACGAACGATGTTTTTGATCGAACTTTAGCAGGCCACACATGGGTCGGGTTCCGAACGAACATTCGTAGAAAAGATTTTCAAAAGAAAAAAAACTCAGAACTCGACCTGCGCGTGCGTGGCCGGCTTTCGTTTTGCTGCGATGTTCCGGATCCCCGGAGGGGAATACGCCGCGGCTGGACGCTGATGTGAGGTGATGGGAAGTCGACTTTCAGAAGAAAACGGCGAAATGTATTTTCTTTGGCGTGGAAAGCGCGGCGAGCGTTCGGGAAAGTGAGCGAACGGCGAGGCACTTAGAGGAAAGGTTGCAGCGCTCCCCCCGGAAGGTTGTTTGTGCATCGAAGCCGTGACATTTCCTCGCTATGATCCGAGATCGCGGCTCTGCATTGTACGGACAAAAAGACTAATGCGGCCGATCAATACCAGAACCTTTCCTAAAGTACGCTTCCATGTCCGCCCGACGAAACAATAGCGCCCCCCGCCCCGGCTGCTAAAAGGCCTTTTATTTCCCCGCGCTCGCTTTTCCCTGGAGCGCCGGCCGACGCTCGCATTCCGACAGCTATTAAAAGCCCCTTTTTTTCCCCCGGGGGAGGGGGGGGGGGGGGGGGAGGGGGTCGCACGCTGCTCCTGTCCTCAACACCAACGGGAAACAATGCGTCCGGCGGCCGTGCGGCCACTTACCAGCGCTGCTGACGCTCTGCCACGCCGTGTGGGAAAAGTTCAACTCTCCTTTCTTTATCAGTTCGAAAAGTTTCTCCTCCGAGTTCGCCATGAATGGCGGATCTCCACACAACCTGCAAAGAGACGGCGGTGAGACGAGGGAATACGATTGGATGGCAGCCCCGCCCTACGGTCTATAGGCTGTGCAGAGGGCAAAGGTCAGCGACTTCATAACACATCAATACATCCCGGAAATGGCCCAATATACAGAAATCGGAGCATTGGGCAAAACATTCTCTTTGGTGAACTTTTCTATGCTGAGATGATGTCAGTCTGCTGCAGGCAAAAGGGGCATTTCCTCAGTCTCCCCTCCCCCAGTGATCAGACTGCACATTGTAACTTTGGGGAAATGCCTCCTCCTTCTACAAAGTTACAATGTACAGTCTGATCACTGGGGGAGGGGAGACTGAGGAAATGCCTCCTCCTCCTACAGACTGTACATTGTAACTTTGTAGAAGGAGGAGGCATTTCCTCAGTCTCCCCTCCCCCAGTGATCAGACTGTACATTGTAACTGTAGGAGGAGGGGGCACTTCCCCAAAGTTACAATGTACAGTCTGATCAGTGGGGGAGGGGAGACTGAGGAAATGCCGCCTCCTCCTACAGTCTCTCCTCCCCCAGTGATCAGACTGTACATTGTAACTTTTGTAGAAGGAGGAGGAGGCATTTCCTCAGTCCCCTCCCCCAGTGATCAGACTGTACATTGTAACTTTTGTAGAAGGAGGAGGAGGCATTTCCTCAGTCCCCTCCCCCAGTGATCAGACTGTACATTGTAACTTTTGTAGAAGGAGGAGGAGGCGGCATTTCCTCAGTCTCCCCTCCCCCACTGATCAGACTGTACATTGTAACTTTGCATTAGGTCACAATGTGAGATTCTGCAGCAAAGGCTGATCTGCGTCAGACATTTGTGAACATTAGTGTCATCTCTGAGCCAACCTCTCAGTCCAGGCAGTAGATGGTGACCCTGGATGATGCCGGAACAGAGATGGTGCCGCCCTGCTGGAGAGAGCCCCGGATGAGGGGAATGTTGCAGATACGGCCGGTGACAGGTCCACTTTAAGAAGCTTTGCTGGAAGTGTAACATTGACAGTTTGGGACATCACTTGATGCTTGCTTGATCTGAACATCTGATGACCAATCCACTTTGATAAGGTGACTGCAGGCATCTCGTTTCCGTGGGTGACCTTCAGGCGGAGTCAGCCAATCACAGGGGCTTTGCCTGGACAGATCCCGCCCTTTCACACACTGCCTTGTGACTCGGTGGCCGTGGCTGGAGTCAGTGTGAAAGGGCGGGATCTATTCAGGCAAAGCCCCTGTGATTGGCTGATAAGTCACATGGCAGGCGTGAAAGGATGGGATCTGTGTCCAGGCAAAGCCTGATTGGCTGCCAAATGACTCAGCGGCCGTGGCTGACTTCAGGCGGAGTCAACCAATCAAGGGCTTTGCCTGGACAGAGATCCCGCCCCTTCACGCAGTGCCATGTGACTCAGCAGCTGTGGCTGACTTCAGGCGGAGTCCACTTTGTGTGTAAAACTGAAAATTTGAACCGACTTCAATCTTCGCACAACGCAACCGCTCGATCTGACGCACTCACAGCGCAGCACCAGCTGACAGCCTGTGGGGGGGGGGGGCGGCTCTGATTCACTTTATTGACTAATAAACGTTCTGAAGAATGTCGGTTTCCGGTAGTCAATTATGATGCTGTTTGAGCGCAACCCAATTTCCCAACTGTCACTGAATCCGCGGTTACATAATGACAGTCATCAAAATGAAAATTCCTCTTTATTTGCTTTGTGGCGACGTATAAGATATTACAGTGGAATCATAAAAGTCGCAATTAGGAACAGAGGAAAGAGCGCCGGAACGTTTTATTTTCACAATATAAGCTGGAAGAAAAGAAAAAGGAAGGAAGGAAGGAAGAAAGGAAGGGAAGGAAGGAAGGAAGGAAGGAAGGAAGGAAGGAAGGAAGGAAGGAAGGAAAAAGAAAAGGAAGGAAGGAAGGAAGGAAAAAGAAAAGGAAGAAAGGAAGGAAGGAAAAAGAAAAGGAAGAAAGGAAGGAAGGAAAAAGAAAAGGAAGGAAGGAAAAAGAAAAGGAAGAAAGGAAGGAAGGAAGGAAAAAGAAAAGGAAGAAAGGAAGGAAGGAAGGAAGGAAGGAAAAAGAAAAGGAAGAAAGGAAGGAAGGAAAAAGAAAAGGAAGAAAGGAAGGAAGGAAAAAGAAAAGGAAGAAAGGAAGGAAGGAAAAAAAAGGAAGAAAGGAAGGAAGGAAGGAAAAAGAAAAGGAAGGAAGGAAAAAGAAAAAAAGGAAGGAAGGAAGGAAGGAAAAAGAAAAAAAGGAAGGAAGGAAGGAAGGAAAAAGAAAAAAAGGAAGGAAGGAAAAAGAAAAGGAAGAAAGGAAGGAAGGAAAAAGAAAAGGAAGAAAGGAAGGAAGGAAGGAAAAAGAAAAGGAAGGAAGGAAGGAAGGAAAAAGAAAAAAAAGGAAGGAAGGAAAAAGAAAAAAAGGAAGGAAGGAAGGAAGGAAAAAGAAAAAAAGGAAGGAAGGAAAAAGAAAAAAAGGAAGGAAGGAAGGAAGGAAAAAGAAAAAAAGGAAGGAAGGAAGGAAGGAAAAAAAAAAAGGAAGGAAGGAAGGAAAAAGAAAAAAGGAAGGAAGGAAGGAAGGAAAAAGAAAAGGAAGAAAGGAAGGAAGGAAAAAGAAAAGGAAGAAAGGAAGGAAGGAAAAAGAAAAGGAAGGAAGGAAAAAGAAAAGGAAGAAAGGAAGGAAGGAAGGAAGGAAAAAGAAAAGGAAGAAAGGAAGGAAGGAAGGAAGGAAGGAAAAAGAAAAGGAAGAAAGGTAGGAAGGAAAAAGAAAAGGAAGAAAGGAAGGAAGGAAAAAGAAAAGGAAGAAAGGAAGGAAGGAAAAAGAAAAGGAAGAAAGGAAGGAAGGAAGGAAAAAAAAAAGGAAGGAAGGAAAAAGAAAAAAAGGAAGGAAGGAAGGAAGGAAAAAGAAAAAAAGGAAGGAAGGAAGGAAGGAAGGAAAAAGAAAAAAAGGAAGGAAGGAAAAAGAAAAGGAAGAAAGGAAGGAAGGGAAAAAGAAAAGGAAGAAAGGAAGGAAGGAAGGAAAAAGAAAAGGAAGGAAGGAAGGAAGGAAAAAGAAAAAAAGGAAGGAAGGAAAAAGAAAAAAAGGAAGGAAGGAAGGAAGGAAAAAGAAAAAAAGGAAGGAAGGAAAAAGAAAAAAAGGAAGGAAGGAAGGAAGGAAAAAGAAAAAAAGGAAGGAAGGAAGGAAGGAAAAAAAGAAAAAAGGAAGGAAGGAAGGAAAAAGAAAAAAGGAAGGAAGGAAAAAGAAAAAAGGAAGGAAGGAAGGAAAAAGAAAAAAGGAAGGAAGGAAGGAAAAAGAAAGGAAGGAAGGAAGGAAAAAGAAAAAAGGAAGGAAGGAAAAGAAAAAGAAATGAAGAAAAGAAAGAAAGAAAGAGAAAATAAAAGAAATATCCATCTTCAGTGACGTGGCGGCAATGAGCGCTTCTCAGGATAAAACCGGGATACGCGGATTCTGTAAAGTGCGCGCAATTCTGAAAAGAGACAGCTGTCACTTCCTGGAAAGAATTGTGGCGTCTGACCGCGATCTGCCCATGAAAAGGGCAAAGGCGACCTCCAGTGCAATTTTGGTAAATACGCATTTTGTTCTATTTTTACATATTCATTTTTTTGATGTGATGATCCGATTCGTATTCTGGATATGGAGTTAGGGGCGCCTACCGAAAAACCGCCACGCAGCTTGGATTTGTATTCGGCGAGGTTCACGCCTATGGGTGGGGTGGCACGTGTGTTGTAGCATGCGCTGACCCCGCCCTGTCATGTGACGTGGCCTACCACTTGGTGGCTGAGTGGCTGTTGTTCCCAGTTGCTTCCACTTTGTTATAATCCCACTAACAGTTGAGCGTGGAATATTTAGTAGCCAGGAAATGTCACGGATGGACTTATTGCCCAGGTGGCCACCTATCACGGGACCACGCTTGGAGTCACTGAGCTCCTGAGAGCGACCCATTCTTTCACCAATGTTTGTAGAAGCAGCCTGCATACCTAGGGGATGATTGTATACACCTGTGTCCATGGAGGGGATTGGAACACCTGAATCACATGATATGGAGGGGATTGGAACACCTGAATCACGATGTGGATTGGAACACCCGAATCACATGATTGGAACACCTGAATCACATGATATGGAGGGGATTGGAACACCTGAATCACATGATTTGGAGGGGATTGGAACACCTGAATCACATGATTTGGAGGGGATTGGGGCACCTGAATCACATGATTTGGAGGGGATTGGAACACCTGAATCACATGATTTGGAGGGGATTGGAACACCTGAATCACATGATTTGGAGGGATTGGAACACCTGAATCACATGATTGGAACACCTGAATCACATGATATGGAGGGGATTGGAACACCTGAATCACATGATATGGAGGGGATTGGAACACCTGAATCACATGATTTGGAGGGGATTGGAACACCTGAATCACATGATTTGGAGGGTATTGGGGCACCTGAATCACATGATTTGGAGGGGATTGGAACACCTGAATCACATGATTTGGAGGGGATTGGAACACCTGAATCACATGATTGGGAGGGGATTGGAACACCTGAATCACATGATTTTGGAGGGGATTGGAACACCTGAATCACATGATTGGAACACCTGAATCACATGATATGGAGGGGATTGGAACACCTGAATCACATGATTTGGAGGGGATTGGAACACCTGAATCACATGATTTGGAGGGGATTGGAACACCTGAATCACATGATTTGGAGGGGATTGGGGCACCTGAATCACATGATCAGGAGGGCGGGGCCAATACAGGCATACCTCGGAATTCAATTCGTTCTCCAGGACTTTTCTTATTGTGAAAAATTTGTAAACCGACATGCGGGTTCCCATAGGAATGCACTGAAAACCAATGAATCCGTTCCAGAGGTCAAAAAAAGTAAGCGCTACTTCAATACCGCAGGAGTGATGTCATCACGTCACGCGGTATGTTAGTAGTGACAACCACGTGGTAATGTTATACATTCAACTGTCAGTGGGGAACCCCGCTGACAGCTGAAACAGAATTGTGGGGTTTCCCCCCCAAAATCCATACCACTTATCCAAGCATGCAGCCCGGCAGGTCACTCACTCGTCCCCTCCCACCCCCTGAACCATACCAGGCCACATGCCCTCAACATGGGCGGGGGGTGCTGCCCCACAACCCTGGCCAGTGGTTGTGGGGGTCTACAGGGGGCTTATAGGAATCTGGAAGGCCCCCCTTTAACAAGGGGGCCCCCAGATCCCATGCACCCCCCCCCCCCATGTGAATATGGGATACATGGTCCTGCTACTCATTCACAAGAAAAGACAGTGTAGTGTGGAAAAAAAAAAAAGCTCCACTCCTGACAATGGCTCTCCCCCCCCCCCCCCCCTGGCTTGACAGTTCTTAAATATGTAAGGGGCGGGGCCACACAGTGACATCACGCATGGCCTCACATTGTGACATTGACCCAGCACGCCCCAGTTGAGGACGCCACAAGGAGGTGGTGCCACACGTGATGTCACTGGGTGGCCCCACCCCATACATATTTTAGAATTGTCAAGCCAGCGAATCAGGAGCCAGTGTCGGGAACGGAGCCTGTTTTCTTCCCGGGTAGCGGCAGCAGCGATCGCGATGAATGTTGTAACTACTTTGGGGGATATTTTTTATATATATATATTTTTTTTTTTCTTCCTTCGTTTGAAGAATGAGACATTCCTTTATTATACACACTTTTCCAGATCCTGATAAGCCCCCCGCCCACAGACCCCCCCCTGCCCACAGCCCAGGGTTGTGGGGAAGAGGCCCTCGTCCTCATCAACAAAGCACCCCCCCATGTTGAGGGCATGTGGACTAGTATGGTTCGGGGGGGGGGGGAGGGGGGGGCTTGCTCGTCCCCTCCCCTTTCCTGACCTGCATGCTTTCATAAGGGTCTGGTATGGACCTTCAAGGGGGGGAACCCCACATCTTTAAATTTTGGCGTGGGGATTCCCCCTCAAAACCCATACCAGACCTGAAGGGCTTGGTATGAACGGAGGGGGGGGGGGGGGGGGGGGGAATCCCACAACATTTTATTTATTATGCTGCCGGTTTTTAAATGTAATTACCGCTTTTTTTTTTCTTCTCTATAGCTCAGGGAATCAGCAGTCACTTCCCCCCCCCCCCCCAGCTACAAGAAACAGTTTCCTTTTCATTTATTTTTGAGTTTTTTTGAACACCAGAGAAAGTGACAGTTGATCCCGTGAGCTATAGAGAAGGAAAAGTCGGCAACTGCATGTAAAGATCGGCACCGAAAAAAATTAGTATCCCGAGACAGTCAATGGATTTTCATTGGTAAACCGAGATATAGATGTGCTCTATAAATTGATTGGCTGGAGACACAGTGATGGGCAGGACAGGGGGTGGAGTCTGCGGTGCTATAAGCCCTGAATGGTGTCATCCCCTCATTTTGGGGGGTGGGGCAGGGGGCGGAGTCTGCGGCGCTACAAGCCCTGAAAGGTGTTATCCCCCTCATTTTGGGGGTGGGGCAGGGGGTGGGAGTCTGCGGCGCTACAAGCCCTGAAAGGTGTTATCCCCCTCATTTTGGGGGGGAGGGGGTGGAGTCTGCGGCGCTACAAGCCCTGAAAGGTATTATCCCCCTCATTTTGGGGGGCAGGGGGTGGAGTCTGCAGTGCTACAAGCCCTGAAAGGTGTTATCCCCCTCATTTTTTTTGGGGGGTGGGGCAGGGGGTGGAGTCTGCAGTGCTACAAGCCCTGAAAGGTATTATCCCCCTCATTTTGGGGGCAGGGGGTGGAGTCTGCAGTGCTACAAGCCCTGAAAGGTATTATCCCCCTCATTTTGGGGGGCAGGGGGTGGAGTCTGCAGTGCTACAAGCCCTGAAAGGTATTATCCCCCTCATTTTGGGGGGCAGGGGGTGGAGTCTGCAGTGCTACAAGCCCTGAAAGGTGTTATCCCCCTCATTTTGGGGGTTGGGGCAGGGGGTGGAGTCTGCAGTGCTACAAGCCCTGAAAGGTATTATCCCCCTCATTTTGGGGGGCAGGGGGTGGAGTCTGCAGTGCTACAAGCCCTGAAAGGTGTTATCCCCCTCATTTTGGGGGGTGGGGCAGGGGGTGGAGTCTGCAGTGCTACAAGCCCTGAAAGGTATTATCCCCCTCATTTTGGGGGGCAGGGGGTGGAGTCTGCAGTGCTACAAGCCCTGAAAGGTGTTATCCCCCTCATTTTGGGGGTGGGGCAGGGGGTGGAGTCTGCAGTGCTACAAGCCCTGAAAGGGGTCATCCCCTTATTTTGGGGGGTGGGGCAGGGGGTGGAGTCTGCAGTGCTACAAACCCTGAAAGATGTTATCCCCTCATTTTTTTGGGGGGAAGGGGGGGTGACACAATAGTAAGGATTATTTTGCACATTTTTTGCACATTTTTTTATTTTCGTATCTTTGGGCAGATAAAGTGTTTCCCGTGTATTTTTCTCCCGTGTTTTTGGCGTGTTTGTCTGGCGGTGGATGGAATGGACACGACAGGCGGACAGAAGAGGCCGCGGCGGATACTTACAACATATACATGATGACGCCGATGCTCCAAATATCGCACTGCTGGGTGTACTCGTGAGCGTGGAGGATCTCTGGAGCTGCCGCAGGAAACAAAATCCAATATTAATACACAAAACACTTATAAATGCTAAAACCGCCAAACGCACGCAACCTGCTGATCGCCCTAATTTATTCCCCGGTGGGGGGGAGGGGAGGGGGGGGGACAGATGTTTGTATGAATTATGTAGCGGCCCCGTGCGTTCCCCCCGCTCAGCGCTCCCAGAAACGATGACTGGATAAATATCCCGATGATAGGCGACTTTTTAATTGTTCCGAGTGACTGTGGAGACAGATGGGGCGCAGGACGCGCAGACACCGCGAGACGCACTTCTTAAATCTTTGATGTCCTGGATGCTGATGCTGCAGGAGACACACCGACGGGACGGATGAATGACACCGGGAGAGACGGGCGCAAACTAACTGCCAGCCAGCAGAAAATCGCACCACGCGGCGGCCAGCGGAAAGCGAATCCTAAACATGGACTTCGCAGATTTTCCCTTTTGGTTTGTTAAAGGTGAACTCCGGGCATAAAGACCCATTTATTATTGTATGTTCCTCAGGAGTCGTAAAGGATATAAATCCATCCTGTGCGCAACAAATGTCTTTGTAATCCCAGATATTACATTGTAAAAAGTAGCAGTGACACCATCGCTGTTGTACATTGCCTGGACTATGGGAGGGGCCCAGAAGGCTCCACCCACTACAGAAAACTACATGAGGGGGTCTTGTACCCATTTTGTTAATTAGGAGCAGAATATGCTCCATTTTTTTTTTTAGAAAAGTCGTGCAAACATTATACTCACATCATTCTATGTTACTGCAACATTGTATCTCTCTATCTCCCGTCTGATCGATGTTTATAAACAATGTTACTTTGTATCTCTATCTCCCGTCTGATCGATGTTTATAAACAATGTTACTTTGTATCTCTCCATCTCCCGTCTGATCGATGTTTATAAACAATGTTACTTTGTATCTCTATCTCCCGTCTGATCGATGTTTATAAACAATGTTACTTTGTATCTCTCCATCTCCCATCTGATCGATGTTTATAAACAATGTTACTTTGTATCTCTATCTCCCGTCTGATCGATGTTTATAAACAATGTCACTTTGTATCTCTCTATCTCCCGTCTGATCGATGTTTATAAACAATGTTACTTTATTACTCTCAGACGGGAGATGGAGAGATACAAAGTAACATTGTTTATAAACATCGATCAGACGGGAGATAGAGATACAAAGTAACATTGTTTATAAACATCGATCAGACGGGGGATAGAGATACAAAGTAACATTGTTTATAAACATCGATCAGACGGGAGATGGAGAGATACAAAGTAACATTGTTTATAAACATCGATCAGACGGGAGATAGAGATACAAAGTAACATTGTTTATAAACATCGATCAGATGGGAGATGGAGAGATACAAAGTAACATTGTTTATAAACATCGATCAGATGGGAGATGGAGAGATACAAAGTAACATTGTTTATAAACATCGATCAGACGGGGGATAGAGAGATACAAAGTAACATTGTTTATAAACATCGATCAGACGGGAGATGGAGAGATACAAAGTAACATTGTTTATAAACATCGATCAGACGGGAGATGGAGAGATACAAAGTAACATTGTTTATAAACATCGATCAGACGGGGGATAGAGATACAAAGTAACATTGTTTATAAACGTCGATCAGACGGGGGATAGAGAGATACAAAGTAACATTGTTTATAAACATCGATCAGACGGGAGATAGAGATACAAAGTAACATTGTTTATAAACATCGATCAGACGGGAGATAGAGATACAAAGTAACATTGTTTATAAACATCGATCAGACGGGGGATAGAGATACAAAGTAACATTGTTTATAAACATCGATCAGACGGGGGATAGAGAGATACAAAGTAACATTGTTTATAAACATCGATCAGACGGGGGATAGAGATACAAAGTAACATTGTTTATAAACATCGATCAGACGGGAGATGGAGAGATACAAAGTAACATTGTTTATAAACATCGATCAGACGGGAGAGAGAGAGAGAGATACAATGTAACATTGTTTATAAACATCGATCAGATGGGAGATGGAGAGATACAAAGTAACATTGTTTAAAAACATCGATCAGACGGGAGATGGAGAGATACAAAGTAACATTGTTTATAAACATCGATCAGACGGGAGATACAAAGTAACATTGTTTATAAACATCGATCAGACGGGAGATAGAGATACAAAGTAACATTAATTAGCTATAATTAGCAACTTTCTGTCTTTTCACCTCAACTATTACTTTCCCGATGATATTTTTTTGTTAATTATTTTCTTACCTTTATATTTAAACTTTTTTACTATTAGTTTTGTTCATTTTTTAGTGTCACATAAAAAAAAAAAAAAAAGCAAATTAGGGGGGGAAAAAAAGCCTTTATTTCATCTGTAAAGGTTTGTGCTTTGTACCAGAATCAATATGAAATTGCTATACAATTCCTGTACAGTAATCATCATATTGGAACATATAAGGGGAGAAAAAAAAAAAAGTTGTTACTATGGATTGCATAAAAAAACAAGTCGTTGGTGTTGATTTACCAAAGGCAAATAGCCTGTGCACTCTGCAAAGTGCAGTTGCTCCGGAGCTTAGTAAATGAGGTAAAGCTTCACATTGCAAAGAGTACCCAATCAGGTGCACCAGAAAGACAAAGGACAAAAAACCAAAGACAAAAAAAAAGATGAACTGAGAAAAGCACTGCAAAGCGGACAAAGAAAACTGCTTAGGTGTGAACAGAGCCTTGGGGTCGGATCACACTATATAAATACAGTCCAGATGTGTTTCTGCATGCGTGTTTTTGATGCGGTTTGATACTTTCCTGGTATTTTCCCCCTCTCTTCAATTGAAATCGGTACATGTGCGTTGCGGTGTATTCTGGTGCAGTTTTGATGCATTTTACCGCATTCCAGGACAGTTCTGTGCAGGAAAAATGCCGCCTATTCTGCTTTTTTTCTGCCTCTGGAACTGAAAGCACTGATGTGAACTATGACCCCGACCACCAGATCACCGACTCTGAGTTTTGGATGCAGAAATATCGCACACTGAAAACGCATGTCGTGTGAAACCGGCTGGGAGGGGGGGGGGAATTTTAAGACACCACTTGGCTTTCAAGCCGTTAATGAAGATGTCTGGGATTCTGACCCCCGGGGCCCCTATGCAGACTCACCCATGTATTTAGGAGTGCCACACGTGGCCTGCAGCATGTTCTCGCTGCCAACTCCACCTTTCTGTACAGCCAAGCCGAAATCCGTCACCTGCCAAGAAGAGCAGATAATCGCTTCAACCACAATTCCGTCACCCCGATCAGACTGACAACAGCAGGAAGCCAAAGGTTCACTTACTTTCCCTCATATTCCCTAAAGCAGGCCATACATGGGTCGAATTCCGAACGATTTTTTTCAATCAAAAACATTGTTAGTTCTGTAATCTGATGGCAGCACCAATGATTTCGAAAATGGTCATTTTTCACAAATTTTCCAGCATTCCCGATAAAGGAAATGGGGAGGAACCACAAAAATCGTCCGGTGCCATCGCCCCACTAACAGTGCAAAAAAATCATTATTCTCAGGTCTGATTTTCGAACAAAAAAGAAAAAAAAAAAATCATTCTGAAATGGACCCGTGTATGGCCGACCGTAATCTGGGTTTTCTGTAATCTGCTGCAGCCAGAGCACGGAGAGCACCTCACATGGGCAGTCAGATCTGCTGCTTGGTGCCTAGGCTGAACCACCAATTTGTCTTCATCATGTATTCAGGGCTGTCATTAGAAATCGTGGGGCCCCTGAACCCAGCCATGGGGCCCCTGAACCCAGCCATGGTGAATCTGAAATGGGGAGCACTGGAGCATGTAGAGGAGGAATGCAGCCAATCAGAAGAGCTGAATGTGGAGATCACCTACCTGTGACACCAGAGAGCTGTGTGTGCAACCTGGCAGTCGCCGAAGAGATGGCTATGGAAGGGGCCGCCGGAACCAGCCCGGACCCTGGTGGGCAAAAGCCTCTATAGTGAGCCTCAGACGCCCCTCCTGGGACTGGGCCCCCTGCCAAACCAATGTCTGTACCCCCCTATCAATGGTCCTGCAGTATAACCAATTGGGTTCAAGGCTTCAATGACTGACAGCTGTGAGAGGAACATCTAAACTAACCTTTCTGAACCTTAACACAGAGGAACCCCTAAAATACCTTTCCAGCCTCAGGACACCACAGGGACTCCATGACCCACAATACATTCATGTGGGGGTCGGCGGGAAGAATGCCCCTTACATTGGGGGTCGGCGGGAAGAATGTCCCTTACATTGGAGGTCAGTGGGAAGAATGTCCCTTACATTGGGGGTCAGTGGGAAGAATGTCCCTTACATTGGGGGTCAGTGGGAAGAATGTCCCTTACATTGGTGGTCAGTGGGAAGAATGTCCCTTACATTGGGGGTCAGTGGGAAGAATGTCCCTTACATTGGTGGTCAGTGGGAAGAATGTCCCTTACATTGGGGGTCAGTGGGGAGAACGTCCCTTCGTCCCTTACATTGGGGGTCAGTGGGGAGAACGTCCCTTACATTGGGGGTCAGTGGGAAGAACGTCCCTTACATTGGGGGTCAGTGGGAAGAACGTCCCTTACATTGGGGGTCAGTGGGAAGAACGTCCCTTACATTGGGGGTCAGTGGGAAGAATGTCCCTTACATTGGGGGTCAGTGGGAAGAATGTCCCTTACATTGGGGGTCAGTGGGAAGAATGTCCCTTACATTGGGGGTCAGTACCATTGAGGGGAAGAATGTCCCTTACATTGGGGGTCAGTGGGAAGAATGTCCCTTACATTGGGGGTCAGTGGGGAAGAATGTCCCTTACATGGGGGGAATGTCAGTGGGAAGAATGTCCCTTACATTGGGGGTTCAGTGGGGAATGTCCCTTACATTCAGTGGGGAGAACGTCCCTTACATTGGGGGTCAGTGGGGGAGAATGTCCCTTACATTGGGGGTCAGTGGGAAGAATGTCCCTTACATTGGGGGTCAGTGGGAAGAATGTCCCTTACATTGGGGGTCAGTGGGGAGAATGTCCCTTACATTGGGGATCAGTGGGAAGAATGTCCCTTACATTGGGATCAGTGGGAAGAATGTCCCTTACATTGGGGGTCAGTGGGAAGAATGTCCCTTACATTGGGGGTCAGTGGGGAATGTCCCTTACATTGGGGTCAGTGGGGGAGAATGTCCCTTACATTGGGGGTCAGTGGGAAGAATGTCCTTACATTGGGATCTTACATTGGGGGTCAGTGGGAAGAATGTCTCCCTTACATTGGGGGTCAGTGGGAAGAATGTACATTCTTACATTGGGGGTCAGTGGGAAGAATGTTCCTTACATTGGTGGTCAGTGGGAAGAATGCCCCTTACATTGGGGGTCGGCGGGAAGAATGTCCCTTACATTGGGGGTCAGTGGGAAGAATGTCCCTTACATTGGTTATCAGTGGGAAGAATGTCCCTTACATTGGGGGTCAGTGGGAAGAATGTCCCTTACATTGGGGGTCAGTGGGAAGAATGTCCCTTACATTGGGGGTCAGTGGGAAGAATGTCCCTTACATTGGGGGTCAGTGGGAAGAATGTCCCTTACATTGGGGGTCAGTGGGAAGAATGTCCCTTACATTGGGGGTCAGTGGGAAGAATGCCCCTTACATTGGTGGTCAGTGGGAAGAATGTCCCTTACATGGTGATTGGTGATCAGTGGGGAGAATGTCCCTTACATTGGTGGTCAGTGGGAAGAATGTCCCTTACATTGGGGGTCAGTGGGAAGAATGTCCCTTACATTGGGGGTCAGTGGGAAGAATGTCCCTTACAATTGTGGTCCTCAGGAAGAATTACCCAGTTATAGATCGTTAAGGATCCATGGTGTCAGTGGGAACCTATCCGGGAAGCAGAAATTGCCAATTGCTTGAGGAACCTCTGGAGGAACCCTAGTTGAGAAACCCTAACCTAAACAATAAAGCTGCAGGGGGCGTGTCTGAGAATTCCAGACACCACTGCAAGCTGGTGTTCCCAGATCACCAGATCCAGATGAATCCAGGGGATGGATATAACAGCCATGTATTCTTGTTTCTCCCTGGAGACTTTCCTTTTAGATCTTACAAAATTGTAAACAGGTCACATGACTTGGTGTCGGCTCGGCATTGTTGCAGAGAAGAGGGGGGGTGGCCGAGCGCGGACGCACTGACCTTAATGTTCACCATCATCCCCCCTCGCCCGGCTGGTTCTCGTTACTCTTCACTAAAATGTTCTCCAGTTTGAGGTCTCTGTGGACAATATCTGTGTGGAGACAATCAGGACGGGAATATTCTGATCACAGGACAATATATTGACGATTTATCAGAAATGAAACTTCAAATATCAACCCCGCCCTCCCCCCATGCAGGTCAAATGTCAACCCCACCCCTCCCCCCACACGGGTCAGAACAGAACTCTAACATCTGATTGGACATCAGTGACTAAAAGACATGACATTCCTCAACACCCCCCTCCCCATACTGTGTCTAATGCTCTCTCTGGCAGAATGTCTGACTATGTTCCCGCCCACTAGGAGCTCTGGGTATTCCCGCCCACAATTGTGTTTCTCTGCCCCCTCAGAGTGTTCTTGTTCACCTTTGCATGTTCCAGCTCCTCTAGTTACATTCATCATAATGTAGAATACATATAGAAGCCTTTAGGGATGGTGGGAACCCCTCATAATGGGCACAGCAGGTGTGCAGACCCAGGAACTCAACACGGATGGTGGGAACCTCTCATAAATGGGCACAACAGGAGTACAGACCTGGGAACTCGACAGGGATGGTGGGAACCCCTCATAATGGGCACAGTGGGAGTACAGACCCAGGAGCCCAGCACAGGGATGGTGGGAACCCCTCATAATGGGCACAGTGGGAGTACAGACCCAGGAGCCCAGCACAGGGATGGTGGGAACCCCTCATAATGGGCACAGCGGGAGCACAGACCCATGAGCTCAGCACAGGGATGGCGGGAACCCCTCATAATGGGCACAGCCGATGCACAGACCCGGGAGCTCAGCACAAGGATGGTGGGAACCCCTCATAATGGGCACAGCAGGTGTACAGACCCGGGAGCTCAGCACAAGGATGATGGGAACCCCTCATAATGGGCACAGCCGATGCACAGACCCGGGAGCTCAGCACAAGGATGGTGGGAACCCCTCATAATGGGCACAGCAGGTGTACAGACCCAGGAGCCCAGCACAGGGATGGTGGGAACCCCTCATAATGGGCACAGCGGGAGCACAGACCCATGAGCTCAGCACAGGGATGGCGGGAACCCCTCATAATGGGCACAGCCGATGCACAGACCCGGGAGCTCAGCACAAGGATGGTGGGAACCCCTCATAATGGGCACAGCGGGAGCACAGACCCATGAGCTCAGCACAGGGATGGTGGGAACCCCTCATAATGGGCACAGCTGGTGCACAGACCCGGGAGCTCAGCACAAGGATGGTGGGAACCCCTCATAATGGGCACAGCTGGTGCACAGACCCGGGAGCTCAGCACAAGGATGGTGGGAACCCCTCATAATGGGCACAGGGGGTGTACAGATCTGGGAGTTGTAGGTATCATACGAACAGAGTCTAAGATGTCAAAGATTGTCAAAAGGTTTAACTCTAACAAAGCAAATATAGCAACTGCTCAAATGAATTCATAACTAGAGGAAATGTGCACATAGGCAACACAACACAAGAATTTCCCGCACATTTCCCGAACTCTCCAACTAATCTGCACAAAAGTCTGAATTAAATCGTTTCAATTTCTTCGGTTAAAAAACAGGTTCTGTAATTAGTAGTTCGACTTTTCTGTGATGACTGACAGTGTCCAGCAGCACCAGGTACAATGCTGGAGATGCTGATTATTGTATGTATGTATGTATGTATGTATGTAGGTATGTATGTATGTATGTATGTATGTATGTAGGTATGTATACATTGATGATTACCAGCAGTTATTGGTGATCAGTAGATGTAGCTATCAATGTGCAATACAAAAAAACCCCTTCTATACATCATATGGGAGATCACACATCTCCGCACTTCAAAGAGAAGCCAACAAGACCCCCTACCACAGCTCGAGTCCTTCTACCATCACAAACAGGAAGTACATATTCAAAAAAAGTCCTCAGCAGTGACTAGAGGCCCAGGCCCCGGGGTCTTCAGCAGCGACTAGAGGCCCAGGGCCCCGGGGTCTTCAGCAGCGACTAGAGGCCCAGGGTCCCGGTGTCCCCAGCAGCAGCTAGAGGCCCAGGGTCCCGGTGTCCCCAGCAGCAGCTAGAGGCCTGGCCCCATTTTCGTCAGCAGTGAATAGAGCCCAGGGCCCCAGTTTTGGGATTCTTAATGCAAAACATGATGCGCACTTACCTTTCTTGTGCAGGTAGGTGATAGCGGAGGCCAGGCTGTGAATGATGTGTCTGGTTTCCGTCTCTGAAAATGGCTTTCTGCGCAGGAGGATCTTTTGCAGCTCGCCATCCTCGCAGAGCTCCATCACCAGGTACATCCGCTGCAAAACAAACCGCCAAACCTGAGACGGTGCAACAAGAGAGCGGCCCAGGCGACACGACCACATTTCCCAACTACGCCACAACTACATGGCAGACAGTGTAATGAATGACACCAACTTGGCCACTGGACAAATGAGATCATGAGGTAGTCTATGGACCCCTCAACCCCCTTCTGTAAGCATGTCCCCTGTGTTAGACTGCCAGCACAAAATGCAGTAAAGCCTGACTTTTCTCTAACTAAACCTGTCAGATTTCTTCATGGAAACTTGTAAAGTTACTGACAGGTCCACTTTAGGCATCTGCACAATAACAGACTATTGTCCTTGGTGGATACAAGTTTGCAACATTTACAATGTCTGACCGACAGGTGACTGCAGTGGGTGGAGCCTGAGGGAAGAATCAAGGAATGGAGAGCACACAACCAGGAATTGCGCTACCAAGCCATGAGGTTTCCTTTCATAACTCCCTCTGGAATGAAGACGATTGACAGACAAGCAGAGAGGCTGACCTTCGGGGTCTCGAAGACTTCCTCCAGGTGGATGATGTGGTCATGGTTAACTCGCTTCAAGATGGAGACTTCACGTTCCAGCAGCTTGACAGTGGAGCTCCCGGCCTAGAGAACCGAAATCATCCCTTAATTCCAATATACGTCACGTTCTACAATACGGCACAAATGATCCCTCCGAGACAAAGATATTTCACTGCCACCCTTTACAGCTGTGCCAGCACAGCCCTGAATCTTTGACGTGTCCTCCACCAATCCCCTTCCTTCTCTCAGTGTAGATAGATGCAGGGGCGGACTGACCATTTGTAAACTAGCACTGCCCAAGGGCCCGGGGTCAGTAGGGGGCCCCCATGAGATGCCCCTGGTACCTTTTTCATAGGCTTTGAGTTTGGGCAAGGACACAAGGGCCCCATGATCCCCTATTGCCCGGGGGCCCCATGAGTTGTCAGTTCGCCCCTGGATAGAAGTGTCCTCCACCAATCTCCTTCCTTCCCTCAGTGTAGATAGACGTGTCCTCCACCAATCCCCTTCCTGCTCTGCTCACTATCTACACAGAGAAGAAAGGGGATTGGTGGAGGACATGCCTATCTACACAGAGAAGGAAGGGGATTGGTGGAGGACATGCCTATCTACACTGAGAGAAGGAATGGGATTGGTGGAGGACACGTCTATATACAACGAGAGAAGGAAGGAGATTGGTGATCGAGGACATGTTTATCTACACAGAGAAGGAAAGGGATTGGTGGAGGACACGTCTTTCTACAATGAGAGAAGGAAGGAGAATGATGGAGGACACGCCTATCTACACTGAGAGAAGGAAGTGGATTGGTGGAGGACACATCTACACTGAGAGAAGGAAGTGGATTGGTGGAGGACACGCCTATCTACACTGAGAGAAGGAAGGGGATTGGTGGAGGACACGCCTATCTACACTGAGAGAAGGAAGGGGATTGGTGGAGGACACGCCTATCTACACTGAGAGAAAGAAGGGGATTGGTGGAGGACACGCCTATCTACACTGAGAGAAGGAAGGGGATTGGTGGAGGACACGTCTATCTACACTGAGAGAAGGAAGGGGATTGGTGAAGGACACATCTACACTGAGAGAAGGAAGGGGATTGGTGGAGGACACATCTACACTGAGAGAAGGAAGGGGATTGGTGGAAGACACATCTACACTGAGAGAAGGAAGGGGATTGGTGGAGGACACATCTACACTGAGAGAAGGAAGGGGATTGGTGGAGGACACGCCTATCTACACTGAGAGAAGGAAGGAGATTGGTGGAGGACATGCTTATCTACACAGAGACGTGTCCTCCACTAATCCCCTTCCTTCTATCTACAATGAGAGAAGGAAGGGGATTGGTGGAGGACACATCTACCTACAGTGGGGATCGAAAGTTTGGGCACCCCAGCTAAAAATTTGTATTAATGTGCATAAAGAAGCCAAGGAAAGATGGAAAATCTCCAAAAGGCATCAAATTACAGATTAGACATTCTTATAATATGTCAACAAAAGTTAGATTTTATTTCCATCATTTACACTTTCAAAATAACAGAAAACAAAAAAATGGCGTCTGCAAAAGTTTGGGCCCCCTGCAGAGTTAAT